CCTTACCACCCCCACTAACCCAGATCACCTTCTTTTTTATTTCCCTGACATGGATATTCTCATGCACAAATGGACTTTCCTTTCACAGTTTTTTCCTCATCTGATAAAATGGCCATGAATAGGGCATGGACACATAACTGTGCCTTTCCTTAGGCCACAATATCCAAATCTCTAGGGCATACAGTCAAACTACACATGCCCCTTCTACTCCCATACTCAGAATGAATGGGAGGCAGGATATATGAAATTTGAAAATAAAGGAAAAAAATAATTACTAATGGACTCTACTATGCTTCTCACCTCTTTGAGAATAAGTGGGCTAGACGAGTGGATCCATCTCCAGCTTTAACTTGTGAAAAAGGACATTATTGAGAAATACTATTTTAAGTGTCTTCAGTAAGCTTTACCTGGAATTTGAAGTTATCTTAATAGCAACCTTCAATTCATACTTTAAAAGAAATCCCTTCCCTCTCTCCTTTTTTTTCCCTTCTTTCTTTCTTGAAAACTACGAATGGCTCACCAACAGGAAAACCAAAAGCCATACATGATTAAGTAAAATTTAAGCATCACAAAGAAACTTTGAAGAATTTTCATTCAGTTCTTACAAGAATAGTTTCTACTCTGCCATCAGCTTACATTGCTGTCTTACTTCCCAAGTAGCAGCTTTCAAAATAAATTTTTAAATTGTTTCTTCTTTAGTGTTACTAATTTTCCATTTTGAAAAAATATCTCATATAAATGTCAGGGCCTAAAACCCCAAAGTATATGTGACCCCATGATATTCACTTCCACTAAGGAAATAAAACCCGGGAGATTTATTGTAAAAACACCATCATCTCTATGTGGGTCCTCAGACTGGAGACAGCCGCTTCAGACATGTTTTTGAAGATATTCTCTTTTCCTAGAAGATAAGCCTATTTAATTGGGCATTATCCCACTCTATGTGTCTTTCTACCCACCTTGTGATATGGCGGTGAAACCATTGGAATTTAGAGTCAGAAGACTTGAACTGGAGTCCTGGGTCAACCCCTTCCTATTTCTACTGTTATAAAACATTTACAACCCAATCAACAAATGGGCCAAGGACCTGAATAGACACTTCTCAGAGGAGGACATACAATCAATCAACAAGTACATGAAAAAATGCTCACCATCACTAGCAGTCAGAGAAATGCAAATCAAAACCACCCTAAGATACCATCTCACTCCAGTAAGATTGGCAGCCATTATGAAGTCAAACAACAACAAGTGCTGGAGAGGATGTGGGGAAAAGGGTACTCTTGTACATTGCTGGTGGGACTGCAAACTGGTGCGGCCAATTTGGAAAGCAGTATGGAGATTCCTGGGAAAGCTGGGAATGGAACCACCATTTGACCCAGCTATTGCCCTTCTCGGACTATTCCCTGAAGACCTTAAAAGAGCGTACTACAGGGATACTGCTACATCGATGTTCATAGCAGCACAATTCACAATCACTAGACTGTGGAACCAACCCAGATGCCCTTCAATAGATGAATGGATAAAAAAAAAAATGTGGCATTTATACACAATGGAGTATTATACAGCACTAAAAAATGACAAAATCATGGAATTTGCAGGGAAATGGATGGCACTAGAGCAGATTATGCTTAGTGAAGCTAGCCAATCCCTAAAAAACAAATACCAAATGTCTTCTTTGATATAATGAGAGCAACTAAGAACAGAGCAGGAAGAAAAGATTAACATTAAACAGATACATGAGGTGGGAGGGAAAGGGAGAGAAAAGGGAAATTGCATGGTAATGGAGGGAGATCCTCATTGTTATACAAAATTACATATAAGAGGTTGTGAGGGGAATGGGAAAATAAATAAGGAGAGAAATGAATTACAGTAGATGGGGTAGAGAGAGAAGATGGGAGGGGAGGGGAGGGGAGATAGTAGAGGATAGGAAAGGTAGCAGAATACAACAATTACTAATAGGGCATTATGTAAAAATGTAGATGTGTAACCAACGTGATTCTGCAATCTGTATTTGGGGTAAAATTGGGAGTTCAAAACCCACCTGAATCAAATGTATGAAATATGATATGTCAAGAGCTTTGTAATGTTTTGAACAACCAATAAAAAAAAATTAAAAAAATAAATAAATAATACAAATTAGAATAAGAAGGCATTATACTTTTGTTTAATAAAGTAGGATAATTTTAACAATATAAAAAAAATAAAACATTTACATAGCTTTTTTGTGCCTCAGTTTCCTCAACTATATGAGCATAATAATATCTGCCTTACCAAAAAGGTTATGATGAACTGATACAATCACATGTGAAAATGCAGCTCAGACACATTGCGTTTAAAGCAGTTAAAAGCTGATGGCACAACCATGGGTCAGAGCTTTCACAGTGGATGTTCATGACTTAATGACACAATTTAGGCACTGACCTGGCACCCACCCTCCACTTCAGAGTGTGACTCTCCTTAACAGAGTTTTAACATCACCTTCTCCTGCAATAGGCAGAGAATAGATAAAGATACAAGATAATGGGTATTTATATGGGAGCCTATAAATGATCACATCTTAAAAAAACAAATTAATTTGTTTAACTTCTGGTTAATAAGTACTTAATGGCAGGTAGTTAGTGGAACATAATGGAACTAGAAAAACTCCAAGCCTACACAGCTTTTCTAAAAACCAGGCCTACAGAACACTTGAGGCAAGTGCCTAGGCAGTCTTTCTTCATAGTGCTGCTACAAGGATAGCATATCCAACTCTGAGGGGTAAAAAAAAAAAAAAGATGTAGGGTAATCAAGATACAAATTAGCAGAATTTGGCCAATACTGTACAAGAAAAAGAATTCAAACAAAACATAAGAAAGGCTATTCACTTACCTTGCTTAGGAGAAATTGCATATTGACATCAGATTCCTATCTGTTCTTTAAAAAGATGAATGGACAGACCATTGATGGATGAATGAATGGATGGATGGATAGACAGACTGTACATACTGTATATATTTAAAAGTATATGCTTTTACTGATTATAATATATTCAATACAGAAAACTCACAACATGTAAAAAATATTACTCACTACATTCTACCTAAAGTAATTGTTGTTTGGATGTTTATATATTTTCTCTTAGGCTTTTTTTAGATGCACATGTTTCTATCAAAATCAGTGTCATACTCCATATATATTTTTGTTGTATTTTACTTATCAGGTAACATATAAATGTTCTTTGACTATAAGATGGAAAATAATTACATATTGTTTCATCACAAAGATGGATTTATGGTAAAGCGTAAATTATTTGACTGAAGCACAGTGCCTAAAAGCATGAAGATATTTGTTTGTGATGAACAATCCCAGGGTTCAGGCATGAACAGTCCAGAGCTGGTGCAGCAAGGCCACCACGGCAGGAACCATGCAGCCAATTCCAAGATGGGTATTAACTCCTCTATCTCCAAGCATTCACCTCAGCAGCTGGTCCAAGATGGGCAATATTACATTGGCATTCCAGCCCATAGGCACAAAACAAAACAAAAAAAAAAAGTAAGAGAGAAAGAGAAAGGTATGACTGTTCTGGAGTCACACCTAGAAATTATTTAACATTACTTCTGCTCACTCTCTATTGGCATAGCTTAATCACATGACAATATAACACCTACTTAGAAGAAGAAGCAGTTATAAGATATAGTTAGCTGCCAAAAATCTTGACAGCTAAAAATTTGAATACTATGAAAGACAGGAGAAAAGAACAGGTATTGGAGGACCCATAATGGATTCTGCCTCTCATTTGAGTTCTTATGCCATAGTGTACATTAATCATTCCCAGTAATCCTTTAGTCTCTTAGTCTTAAGATTCCAATATGACAAATATCTACAGTTTTCCTGCTATAAAATATTGGTTTGGATAGTATTTACTCAATAAACTGGTGGCCAGAATACAAAAGACAGGCAATTTGAGAAATTTGAAGATTTATTTATTTTGAAATATGTAAATATTACATCAGCATTTTATAAATGAGGCATAAGAAGCTTATTTTTAAAAAACTATATAATTAATTCTCAATTCCCATTTCAAAACTTGTCAATATCCTGTGTTCATATCTTTGTTCCTGTGGAGGCATAGTCCAGCTGCCCCAACCCCAGAAAGAGTGCTATCCTGTGCTCTGTATAAATGCATATACTACTGAAATAAATCTCCCCAGAGTCAGGCATTTCCACTACCAATTCAATGGCTCCTCTTAGCTTTCCACCAAATTCCATATTGCAAGATGAGTTACAGTATTTTGTAAATTTGCACTCACATGGTGTTGATTTCACCATCTAAACTTGCTTTTGACCAAGAAAGTTAGCTCTCTGGATTTGAGATCCTTGAAACTATTCTGGATTTGACTTCTTTAATACTAATCACTTCCCTCCACCTATCAAATTACTTTTTCCTCCTTTCCATATACAACCTAGAAATTCAGTGCTAGGGTTTCTTGATAGTACTAGTGGTTACTGTCACCCAGCAAGTGTGAGGACTTTTCTCTGTCTCACCCAATAATTTACTTTCATTGAATTTTTTGTTGTTGTTGCTCCACCTTACTATATCTAAAGCCTGTCTACTGGCTCTCAATGACTACGCATATACTGCTGTACTTTCTCTAAGGACTCTTCAATTAAACAATAACAAAAAAAATCATCATATGCACCAGAATATGTTTCTTAATTTGGGGTAACTTCCCATCATACTTCAATAACCAGGGGGTGATTATCATTACCCAAAAATGTAAAAATCATGAAAAATTCATCATAAGTAATGCCTCAAAAAAGTTCCTTAAGAATGTACTTCATTTTAAAATATTGGCAAAAACAAAATGCAAAATTAATTGATATACAGGCACTCAAAGACATAGGATGTCAGAATCACAGACATAAAAATAACTTCTCCAAACCAATAAGAAAACTGCTAACAGAAAATCTTGCTCCCAACCCATATATAACTCCAGCCAATGATTACAGCTGAAATTCCACTATTTGTTGAAACAAAGAATCTTCTTTGCTTTGGTTTTCAGTTTAGAATGTGTGAGAATGAGGAGACAAGAATGTCCTGGAGGGTAAAGAGCAGAAATAATCATACAAGTGGCTTTGATTCCCAAACCCATCCTCGAATAAGATGGGAGATAACACAGCAGGGTAGACATTGAGTATGGAATGTAGAGAATGAGGAAATAGATCATCAGTTTCATAGCACGGACATGAGCTTCAGTCTGGGGGTTCCAAAAGCCAGTGGAGTTTTTCTTCATTTTCTGTATATGTCTCCGTAGAGAATGTATTAACAACGAAGCAGAAGTCACATTAAGGATAAACTGGAGCAATGAGTTCAAAAGCAAAGAGGCCACCAATGACAAGATGCCCTCATTGAGGTCAAATAAGGTGCCATTTCTCCCAGTCACAAATTCAGGAAAATGTGACATCTGTCTGAACACAACATACAGAAGAGTGGTGAAGGCAGAAATCAGCACACAGGCCAGCAGCAGTCTGGTGATCTTTGGGGAGAGATTCCGTTTCAGCAGGAGAAACACTGAGTGTTGGAAGTTAGTTATCTTTACACAGTACAAGCTGTTGAGCAAGGTCACAAACCAGAGACTGATAGAGTCTAAAAACCTCCAGCATAACAGACAAAGTGTGTAATAGGAGACTGACCTTTCAGCATTTGAAGAGATGATGTACAAAATGCTCAGGATAAACAATGCCAGCATAAAAAATCTGGTGATGCCCAAGCTGAAGAGGATCTTATCAGAAGAGGAGATTCTGTGGCTTTTGACCCAAGTCCTGTAAATGACCACTGCAATGAACAGATTCATAATCATTCCTACAAAATTAAAACTAAGTGAGGCAATAACAGCAGAAAAATAAAATGCCTCAAGCATCTTTACTCATTGAGAATTCAGCAGTTATAGTACTGATGCTGAGGCAGGAGAAATACTGAAATGTGTAGGTAGATACCAGTATCCAAACAGGGAGATGTTTCCTTTTTTTCCCCCCCCCCCAGCTCAGCAAATGAGCCATTTCTAGTTTAATAGCCAACTGCTTTTACTGAGATGCAAATTTTCTAAGGATTGCATTACTATTTCTTCATTCCTATACTTTTTTTCCTTAGGAACACCCAATTAAAACAAGCCTAGGTAGACCTGGAAGTCCTTTCCTCCAAGAGCAAGAAGGCGAGGGGTGGAATCAGAACAGACTTCAAGGTCTTCAAATCCAATCAGAGAGACCTAGTCCAGCATTGTTTCTGTCAGTGTTTCACACCATAGGTTTTCTTCATAGAAACCACAGATGATGGTGGAAATTCTAATGCCTCACTGCTACTCAGCACCTTCCAACCACATATCCATGGCTTACCTCAATTCAACTTCTCTCTCCCCTATAATCTGTGGATGCTGTAGCTATTTTCTCCAACTGTCATTCAAATTTTTCCAGTGCCACTCCTTTTTTATTGATTAAAAAAATAAATAAATGACAGTGGAATGCATTACAATTCTTATTACATGTATATAGCACAATTTTTCATTTCTCTGGTTGTATATAAAGTATGATGACACCAATTCATGTCTCATACATGTACTTTGGATGATGATGTCTATCATATTCCACCATCCTTGCTAAGCACCTGCCCCTCCCTTTCCCTCCCACCCCTCTGCCCTATCTAGAATTCATCTATTCCTCCCATGCAACCCCACTATTCCCCCTCCCTACCCCACTATGAGTCAGCCTCCTTATATCAGAGAAAACATTCAGGATTTGTGTTTTTTGGGATTGGCGTACTTCACTTAGCATTATCTTCTCCAATGACATCCATTTCCTGAAAATGCCATGATTTTATTCTCTTTTATTGCTGCTTTATCCCTTAACACATATAGTGATTTACTGTTGTCTAATAAATTAAGTTCAAGAATCTGATCCTCTTTAAGACAGTCTTTCTTTCTTTTTTTTTTTTTTTTTTTGGTACTGGGAATTGAACTCAGGTGCACTCAACCACTGAGCCACATCCCCAGCCCTATTTTGCATTTTATTTAGAGACAAGGTCTCACTGAGTTGCTTACAGCCTAAGTTGCTAAAGCTCTCTTTGAACTCAGGACCCTCAGCCTCCTGAGCCACTGAAATTATAGGCATGCACCACCATGCCCAGCAGAGACAATCTTTCTTATTCCCATCTTTCCATGATAATTATTTTGCATTCCCTTATTGCTACATATACAAATTACTGCCACTATCAATTGCTGTGTTCTTATTTTTGTGTAAGAAAAAAGTCAGGCTTTTCATTTGTTTCCTTTAAAAATCTGCATCTATACTTAGATCATATGTGGCTATCTCCCTGTATGCATTCAACTGACAATGAATGAGATATACAGTACAAGTTGTAGTTTTTTGGATCAAACAACTATTTGCCTGATTACTTTGTCACTGCTTAGATATGACAGGACAAATGATGTTATGGAGAACCACAGATGAGTACTGCAAGAGTATGGCATCTCTTATCTACTCTATAGTTTTTTGTTTGTTTGTTTGTTTGTTTTTATTTGAAACCACAGTGCAATCCAGGATGTGACCAAATATATCTTACCAAATTTGCATCAAGGTGAAGCACAAAGTCCTATTGCCAAACACAAATAGGAATGGACAAGCAGAAGGAGCCAAGATATGGTGTGACAGGAAGGCAATCCTATAAGAAATTCCCTGAGGTGGAGCCTAGGTGCTTGCAGAAGCTTTTTATACAAAATTAACAGGCACTAACAGAGGTATACCCACATCAGCAAAACAGGTAAAACTAGTGAGTGAAGAAGCAAGGCCATGATTCAAGGGGAAATTATAGCATAGATCTCTACTTCATTACCCAAAATATATGACTGCATTAAAATAATTCAAATATAAATATAACAGATTCAAATAACACACTGAAACAGAACAAATAATATAGCTTAAGATATAAGAAAACAATATTCCAAAAAAATGGGAAACCCGCTATTAGTTTTTAACAGACCCCATCCAGAGTGTGATAAATAAAATAGCTTTCTATAGGAGAAAATATTATAATAAAGATGTGATCAGGTTGACTAGTGTGATCAGTGAGTGAGAGGGTTCTGTCAGAAGGTATTTCTCAAAGGATCAGTATAGGAAAAGTATTAGCAAAACTCTTTCATTGCACAAGATTTTGACTTTCGATTAAACTTGACATGTCTGTTTTCCTTGTCAATCTAATAAAGGTAAGATCATCAACTACAGTGTTTATACACACACCCCAAGTCTTCTGATTGGAAAATTACACCTTGGTTCGAAGGAACTATGTGTGAACAATAAATATCTTATGGAGACTACATACTTTGGGCCACCCTGAATGTAGTGACTCCTCATGTGCATGTCCCTTAACTGGATGCTGGAAGCCATGTCTGTGAAATTATTACAAAAGAAATTGGCTCCTTTGAGACATGAAGTTTCCATTCAGGACAGATCACACCTTCACCCTGATGTGGATCTCTCCTCTTTGCACCTTACTCTGCAGCCTAGACCAAGAACTTTGCAAAAGAGAAAGACCTGACATTGCTCTGTTGGTAAGAATAGGCTGATACACATGAACCTGCGAGTCTTGAAGTCTGACTGTTTACTAGAGCACTGGTGGGCACTGCAGTCATGGATACAGATCTTCTGCTTTTTAGACCTGTAGGGAAAGCTGGGGAAACAGTCAAAGCAAAAGGATGACTTAGCTCATTTTGTGATGACTCTGGAGATCTGAGATCAGTCCTGAACAACTAGAATTACAGTTTCAAATTTTTTTCAAAAAAGTACTACATGGAGCCAGGCACCCTGGCATGTGCCTGTAATCACTGATACTCCCAAGGCTGAGGAATAAGGATCGTGGAGTTCAAAGTTAGCCTCAGCAACTTAATGAGGCCTTAAGTCTTGCCAGATCCTATCTCAAGACAAAATATAAAAAGAAAGGGCTGGGGATCTGGCTCAATGGTGAAGTGCCCACCTAGGTTGATTCCCAAGGACCAAACAAAAAAAAAGAGTACTACATGGAACTTAGAAGGAAGAAAGAAGGAATCCTCCACTTCATTGGGGGGGGGGGAGGTTATTAAGTGCCAACTATCTCCAGCAATGCACCAGGCATCTTAAATGTTAGTTAATACTTAAAACAGTCCTAGGAGAAAGATATGGATATCCCTACTTACCAATGAGAAAAATGAAGAACACAGAAAGTAAATATCTACTTCATATATCAGACAATCAATGGCTAAGATGGAAGGTCTTTCCGAGACTAAGCTCTTTTATTTCTTTAGACTGACTCTCATTGATTCTTGCATGCAACAAACTGTTGTTAGTGAGGCACTGTTAGGTGCTAGAGAATCAGGGGAGAAATAGCAACCTACACATCCTGACTTCAGATAACATACACAATAATGGGAGGAGACACACAGAATATTAGAGATCAGTGCTTAGGGTGGTACAAGACGGAACATCAAAGAATGCAATGACAGTGTTCAGGAGGCACATTTAATCCAGACTTGGGAGAGGGGGGTCAGGAGACATGTAAATTAAGGATGAAAAGAGATGTTATCCAAGCAAGAGCACAGGATGGTAGGGAGAAGGATGACAGAGAACCCTACATACAGACTTAGAGATGACAAAAAGTGCAACAGGTTAAGGAAATAGAAGAGTACAGAGGTTCAAAGAGAGGAAGAGAAGTGGTCAGAGATGAAAGTGGAAACATGTATCACTCAGAAGCTATGCTATAGTGCCGCAGTCTGGCTGGGCACAAAATCACGAGCCACTCAAGCAGGAACAAACTTTATTTCCAAAACTCCCACGAGGCCTTCTCCCGGGACACACTACACCAACAGGAAATCCCTCCTCCGGAATTCCCTCCTACCGCACTTCCCCAACCAATTGGAACTCTCCAGAGTCCCAGGAGAGCTCCAAAGTAGCAGGCCGAGGGGGACAGCAGGGGTCTAATCTCTAATTGAATGCACATCTTAACATAATCATTATCATCTCAATGGCTTGCTGGCGTCACCTATCAACCAAAAATGCCATGCATCATTCCTACTTGGCTATGGTTCTCAGCACTATAGCAGTCACAGATTTGGGGAATAATTAGTATATATTAGTATAGTAATAATAAATAGTATATATTAGTATAGTAATGTGATCAGAGGCATGCAAACATTCTGGGAAAACATACAGAGTATGTGTTTGACCTCATCTTTGAGAGTCAGAGAAACTGTCTTGGAGGAATAAAGATGTGAAGAAGAGAAACTAGCTGATGAGAGAAAGAAAATTCTAAGCAAAGAGAACAGCTTATACAAAACTATAGCAACAAGAGATTATGGCATATTTGGGAGCTAGAAGCGGATGAAACTAAGAAGGAAAATAGGGGACAAATGACAAATGGCTTTATATTACAGGTCAAGGAATTTGGATTTACCCAGAGCAACGGAGAGTCACTATAGAGCTCAGGAAAAGAGCACTATAATGGTATTTTCATTGTATGAAAAACGAAACCCAAGTAATGTAGGAATGCTTTGCTGGAAGCAGGTGGAGTTGGAGACAGGAAACTAGTCAGAATCCTGTTGCAGTCACTCTGATGGGTTGAAAAAACTAGAAGTGGAGATGAGGTGACATTTGGAAGAAATGCTGTTAAATACCAAATGGATCTGACTGGTGATCAAATAGACACTGAAGTTGCCAAGGAGGGAAAATATGGGTTGGTTTCCAGAATATTCCCACAATCTCTCTCACACACATACACAAAGAGAGAGAGAGAGAGATACACACACAAAGTCTTTTCCTGAATATTTGTGTGATCTGCATTAACAGTTTAAAAAAAGAGAGCTTATTTAAATAGGTGAGGATATTGACTCAGGTCTTCCAA